CCCCGTTTGCCCCGAGGAAAGGTGTCACGAGGAGCTCCGGCGCCCATCCATTCTGCGCGGCCGACCCCGCCGTCCTATTCAGGACATACTGCCCGGGCGATACTATCACCGCCGCCCTCCGCCGCCGCATTCTTCATTCATAATGCCGCGCTTCATCGCGCCGTTATGAGTCCGGCGGTCATCCATCTCACGGGGCCGCCCTCGTGACTGTGACGGTCGAGTGACGCCCTCGTGACTGTGACGGTCGAGTGTCGCCCTCGTGACTGTGACGGTCGAGTGACGCCCTCGTGACTGTGACGGTCGAGCGACGCTATGGTGACTGTGACGCCCACTTGTGACGACTGATTGTGACGATCACGTTATGACGCCCTTGTTACCGTCACACTCACGTGACGACCACTTGTGACGATCGCAGTGGATCGACCACCAGTTGCCACCTGTCCTTTGGTTATATTGGTCACTTACCGATGCAGGCGTGCCCGGTGGGCGACAGGATGAAGCCGTTGTTGCACTGGCACTTGAACGAGCCGTGCATGTTGACGCAGACGCCGTTGGCGCACATGCCGTTCTCCTGGCACTCGTCGTGGTCTGCAAACACAAAACGAGTGTGCGTGTGTGACAAATTGGGTGTCTGTGTCTAGTTTTTTTGCCCTGGCGGGCGCGGTTCCTTCCTCGCTCACCTAGACACTGCTTGTTGTCGGCCGACAGGTCGAAGCCCGGCGGGCACACGCACGTGAAGCCGCCCTGGGTGTTGGTGCAGGTGCCGCCCTGGCAGTAGTGCAGGTCCGCGCACTCGTCCACGTCTGCACGGCGGAGGGGAAAACAAAAGAGACACGTCAAGTGGAGCGTGAAGAGGAGAGAAAGAGAGAGAGAGAGTTTTTTTAGAAGACGGCAAAATAGATGGTAGTTTCAACGGCGGGCGTTGCTGCGAGGCTTCGGCCACACTAATCGCGTTTTAAGGTTCCTCATCATCTGGGGGGGCCTCCTAAAGTGATCGAAGCCGGCCGGCAATGAAGCAGCAGCAAGCGTGCGTGGGAGAAGGTGCGCCGCGACCATTAGGAGCAGGGCGAGGGTGCGCGCCGCCGGGGCCGCGAGGGCCGCGAGGGCCGCGAGCCACAATTACGTCTGCGTCTCTTGTGACACACAATTCCGCGCCGTAAATTGGAGCGCCGCGGGCGCTGCGCTTGCCGCGCTGCAGGAGGAGGAGGAGGATGAGCTCTGTGCTCCTCCGGGGAGGAGCGGCGCGGGTGTGTGCATACGCGATGGGAGCCGCCTGCAAGCCGTGCCGAGTAACGCTTTTTTTTACGCATGCCGTAAGTGATTTGCAACTGGCCTTCACACACTTGGGATGGTCCCTGCTTGAAGCCGGCGTCGCACTCGCAGGTGTAGCCCATGGGCTGGTCCACGCAGCGGCCGTGGCCGCAGATGCCCGGCTGGATGCTGCACTCGTCGACGCGGTGCGAGAAGCCGCTGAGGCTGAGGCCGGGCCCGCCGGTCCAGCCGGGGCCGCCGGGAGACTGCTGTCCGCCGGGGCCCGAGCTACCGGGGGGCCAACGCCCCCCGCCGGGGTACCTGCCACCGGGGCCCGTCTGTTGAGCGCCGCCGGGGAGGCCCGCGCCGGGGTAGGTCCCCCGAGCGCCGGGCAGTCCTATCGTCTCGGGGCCTGCACAGAGTAGAGAGCAGACCTTCCATTCAATCCCATTGCAAAACTTGGACGGCATGACGAGTTCCCGCCAAGCGAAGCGGCCCGCCGGCCCGTCCTCGTCGTCTTGGTCGACCTCCCTGTTGTGGCACTTTGGCGAAAGTTGGCAACCCGATCGCTGATAAGGAGGAACTATCAAGGCCGCGAGAAACGCGTCGGATGATCTGTTCCCCCCTAAAAGTTTCGGGGGGCAAAAGTCGCCGACGGTTTCAGGCAAACTAGTATGCGAGTTTGAGTGAAATAAAAGGCAAGTTTTTCTTTTATGTGTGTGTTCCAGCGACTGTACTCACCGCCGTAGGTGCCCGTGGGACGGTCGTAGCCGACGTGTCCCGGCCGAGCCCCGGGGCCGCTGGGTCGCGCGCCCGACCAGCCTCCCGGGCCCGACAGCCCCGTGCCTCCAGGGCCCCAACCCCCAGGGCCGCCGGCGGGACCCCTGCCGCCGATGCCGCCGCCTGGGCCGGAGATGCCGCCCGGGCCCGTGCCTCCTGGACCCACCGGGCCGCCCGCGCCCGCACCGCCAGGGTAGCCGCCCGCGCCGTAGCCGCCTGCGCCGCTGGGGTAGCCGCCAGCGCCGCCCGGATAGCCGTCCACGCACAGATTCCGGTAAGCACCTGTCGAACATTTTTCAAAGTCAAGAAGTGGCCCCACGCGGGAACTCACCTGATACCCCGACGGCGGCCGAGCTGGGGTACTCACTGTCGCCGACGTCAGGGCAGCGCTCGCACTCGTCGCCCCAGCCCTTGCCCATGTTGACACCGCAGCAGCAGTCCTTCTTGGAGAGTCGGATGGGCAGCTTGTTCTGGCACAGCCCCGCGTCCGACACGGAGGCGAAGCAGAAGCCCTGGCGCGCGTCTGTGACAGAGAACGTGACAGCGTCGTTATTATTTTCATCGTGATTATTCGTATACGTTTTTTCCCCCGTTTCCATTCTCTCGCGCCTCTCCCCGCCCACCGCGATGGCAGAAGCGTGTTGTTGCGCGTTGAGTCCTGGGGGATGAATGCTAAGTGCGCGGCTCGACGCCACGCCGTCCTTGGCTGTCAAAAAGAGGCGCACGGATGGCTTTTCCCGCGCGCTCCCCGCCCACAATTTCCCGCTTTTTCATTTTTCGTCGCCTTCCCTCTCTATCTCTCTCTTTCTCGCGGCATTTATGGGCTCGTCAGGTTGTGCCGCACAATAATTACGTCATTTTTGGGGTGAGTGGGTCTTTTTCCTCAACGGCCGCACGGGAAAAAGAAAGTTAGCAGGTGGCGGCCGCAGTCATCCGCGCGCCCCGCTTTTCCGTAGTTGGGCTGTACTTGTATATACGCGCGGTGCCGCCTCGTTACCAACCGACTCTTCAGCTGCTTAGTGCAGCTAGAAATTTTAATTTCCCAGAAAAATATTTTCAGAAAAGTTGTTGAACACAATTGTCTCAGATTTATATCTTTCCCGAGTAGGTTAAAATCAGGCTCATTACCCTACAGACTCTTTTAAAATTCAGATCTATTTTTTTCTGGAATAATTACGAATTTTCCCCGTAAAGTCCCGATTTTTAAAATCTCTAGGCGCAGCACAAAGGCGCACTCGATGCTACCTACCGATGCAGCCCTTGCGGTCCTGGCGGGGTATGAAGCCCGGGTCGCACACGCAGTAGAAGCCGCCCTGGGTGTTGACGCAGTGCCCGTGCTCGCACACGGCCTCTCCCGAGGCCAGGCCCTCCTTGCACTCGTCGCGGTCCTCGCACTCGTTGTTCTCCGGGTTGCGGGTCTGGCCGTCGGGGCACTCGCACGTGAAGGAGCCCACCGAGTTGACGCACTTGCCGCCGCGGCACAGCCCCGGGATGGCCTCGCACTCGTCGATGTCTGCAAAAATAGGAAACTCAGGTTAACGACAATTGCCCCTATCGTGATCGACGTGGGTGATGATGATTACGACGACGACGACGACGTTGCCGCTTGTCGAGCATATCTAGCGGGGGGAAAAATGACCTGCAGCTGCTGCACATGCCTGGCCGTACCCATGATAGCAGCCAATCCAATCGCGTCATGACGCGATTGCCGATACCCGCCTCGATTGGCGATTTGAGCTCCAAATGCCGTTGTTTTGTGTTACATGGGGATTAATCACGCCAATATCGCCGATTGCAATCGCAGGACACGACACGACGGCCGGGCGAGGCGAGCGCACGGACCTTTAATGGGTAGCCCGTAGCCCGGCCCCGGCGCCACCGACAGGGTCGTTATCGTCGGACCGCCGCCGCTCGGGTACTTACCGTAGCACTTGCCGGTGTGGATGTTCTTGAGGTGGCCCGGGTCGCAGTCCAGCTTGGCGCACTTCTCGCAGGGGTGGCCCCAGGCCTTGCCCACCGTGGCGCAGCACAGCTGCTTGGTGCACACCACGCCCTCGAGCTGGCCGTTGCACGAGTCGGCCGTCACCTTGGTGTAGCAGGGGCCCGTTCGGTAGTCTGCCGTCCGCACCAACGAGGAAAAGAAAGCGCCATTTATAACAACACGGAAACGTGAAAATGAAACGGACGCGAAAAAAGTTTTAGTTTTCAAGTTTTTAGAGGGTAATTACTTACCCGCCTCGCAGCGCCGGCCGCTGAAGCCGTAGACGCAGGCGCAGCGGTCGGGTCCGATACAGCGGCCGCCGTGTAGGCAGGGCTCCTTACAGATGGCTGCCGGGTAGAGACAACTATTATCAACTGTCGTATTATGTACTTGTATGCTCACCAGTGTCAGAAACTGACAATACAAATATGACTTTAAAAACATCAAAATTTTGTAACAATTTTTCAAAACGTTGTGACGCGTTTTTCAAAATATTGCGACAAATTTTGAAAGTTTTTTTCGCGACAACTTTTCAAGTTTTTTGTAAACTTTACGAAGTTGTGTGACGTTGTGCTCAAGTTGTCGCTTACGTTCGCCGCAGAACGGCCCCTGGTAGCCGGGGCGGCACGCGCACGTCCCGTTGACGCACGACCCCCCGTTGAGGCAGGTGATGGGGCAGCTGGAGCCGGAGCCGCGGCCCCCCGCCGACCGCGGCCACCCCAGCGCCGTGCCATTGCCTGCTGCGGGAAAAAGGAATGGATTTGAATGCGTTCCATCCGGGAAGTCAAAAAAACCAACATAACATTAATTTTCATGCGAAATGGGGCGTTTGTCTTTTGTGCGTGGTCGCCACATTTTTTGTGTGGCTGTTACTCGACTGTCGACGAGTAACAAATCTACACCCCACGAGGCACGAGGTATGGGCGCTCGGCGCTCCGCGTCTACTGTACAGTTTGGCGGTAGTTGGTTGATGAAATACCTCTGCTGATCTGGTCCCGGCATTCCTGGTCGCCGGGCGGACAGCTGCAGACGTTGGGCTTGACGCAGCTGCCGACATTGCAGGTGCGCACGCAGACAGCTGCGGGGGACAGAGGAAGACAAGGCGGGAGTGATTATCTGGAGGGAGCAGCAGGAGTGGACCCAAACTGAGAGCGGGGGAATGGGGAGAAGGGTTGTGGAGACCCCTGGGAAGATACCTGGCTGCGTCCCGCCCGCCTCGCCGCTCCGGCGGGTGGCCTATCTGGCAGGGGGCTGCCCGGGACACGGCTGCCTTATTGGATGGGGCGGGGAGAGGCCAGCAAGGGCTGTGGTTTGGCGCAGCGGGGCGGGACGGCCCGGGACCGGGCGGGATGGGGCGGGTAGAACGACAAAGAAGAGCTAGCGGCTTGTTGGTGGAAAGTAGGTTCAGAAAGATTATTGCTCCCGGAATGCCTGCTATGCGACCTCCCGGCGGCCCCTTTGCGGCCCTCCTCTCGACACGCCTCTGGGGCCGCACAGCTACCGCACAGCCAAAGCGGTGAGGGGTGAGGGACAATAAGTGACGTTGGAGGAAATAAGGGAAAGGGACGGGAACTTCCAGGTCGAGCGGGGTCGTTTGGTTTGTTACAATTTCAGAAAAAAAGGGGGAGCTAAAAAGTTAAAGAGTGAAAAGAACGGTAGAAAAAAATGTATTTGCATATAAAAGAAAACTTGGCCTCAGGGATCGTCCAGAAAGTACGTCCGTTTTTCGTAGATTCAGTCGCCGAAGCTCGGCGCCTGCGAGACTCGTGGTAGGCCACCCTGCAGTACACGCGTGCGCCGCAGGCGTGATGTTGCCTACCTACCAGGCGCTATGAGAGCTTGCGTGAGCTGATCTCTGCAGTCTCGTCACGGCGGATATCGGGCGTACATTCTGGATGATCCCCGTGTCGCTTTAGCCACCTTCTGGTTTGTTCTTAATTGTCACAACTTACGGATGATGCACAGTCCGTGGCGCAGGGTCCATCCAGGACAGCAGTAGTTACGATACCTCGACCGGCATACGTTGGGGCTGTGAAAAATAAAGAAAAACAAATCTACAAAACTCGCTATAGCGCATATACGACTAGATTAAAATAAAACTTGCTAAAGTAACAAGCAGTATAGGTTCTAAAATATTGGCCGGATTGTGGAAGGGGGAAAGAGTGGATGGGTGCGCAAGGGCAGGGGGGCGTCAAACAGAGGCAAACAAGTTTAAAATTTATGATAATGGAGTGCCTCTTAAAAGTTATTAACGTCTGCATAAAAAATAACGCCCCCGCCCGCCTCTCCGTCGCCCCCCGTTCTGGTCGGCCCGGTATGTATATAGGGAGGGAGGCGGTGGAAACAAATTCTGGCGGGCGTTATTACCGACCGGACGTCGGATTTGCGCTATAGAATAATTTTTCCTCCTCCGTACTTCTTCTGGCCGTTGAGTAATTGTTCGGTCCCAGAGAGTTGCAGTGCAGGCTTTGCGCGATGGGGTGACGACGGTGGGGTCCCCGTGTGCCGTCGCGTGCGGCTGCGGACGCCTTCCCCCGCGCGCGCACTTGACTCTGTGGGCATTGATGGGGCGCCAAGTCGTATATGTGGAGGGGAGGGGGTTGACTCCCGGAAACTAGGCAAGTTTGTTGTAGCGGGGCGGGGCGGGGCGGAGCGGGGCGGAGCGGGGCGGAGCGGGGCCATTAGATGGCGTATGGCGAGGTGCGAGGCGTATAGGGGATGGGGGAGGGGGCTGATTTACCAAGGGAAATAAGGAGATCAGCCGCTGGCGTGTCCTCATCAGAGACACGAGGTGTCGGGGCCCAAACAATCTGTCACGGCGCCCCGCCCCACCCTCGCCAGCCTGCCTGCTCGCCGCGCCCCGCCCCGCCGTGGTCCCGACCATGCGTCCCGCCCAAGCCGCCCGAGATATTGAACTCTCCGTCGTGTGGCGGGGCGGGGCGCCTCCGCCGCGCCTCGGCCTCGGCAGGTGTGCATGTATAAAACACTGGGCTTCATTGTTCCCTTCCGCCGCGACACTCGCGAAGGCAAAGGCGCGCTCATTATACTGCTCTACGCGGGCGTGGCGTGGCCTGGCTGGGCAGGGCGTGGTGGGGCGGGCCGGGGCGACGGCACTTTCGCCAGAGCTGCATCGCGCCGCGCGCCCCGCCCGCACGCCGCACCCGCACTGTGCGTAAAAGAGTCCGTGCGACGTGATGGAGCTTCCGGCCTCGTCGGGGCGGGGCTGGAGTGTGACGAAGCGCGCCGGCGTCGTCGTGTGCACGCCTGGCCGATGCCTCTCCCGCCGGCCAGGCCTGGTGCTCCTCGCTTGCTTACACACACAGCCTGGGACACTTGTTCGCCCAATCCCTCCCCTCCCTGCCCCCCCACTTTACTTCCGCCTCATTCACAAACCTTTCTCAAGTTTTCTTATTATTTCTCGCGATTAGGAGAGTTACAGTGCGGTGCGCGACACGGCCGCGCCCCGCCACACCGCGCCGCCCCACCCGCTGCGGGGTGTTTATTAACACTTAATAAATTGCGCGGGACCTCCCTACGTGTCTGCTTAATTGCAGGGTCATGCGCGTTTCCCTGTTTGATGTGGTTCTCGTGCGCGTGTGAGAGAGACAGAGAAAATAAGAGAAGGATAGGAAATTATGGGGGAGAAGAGATGGAGAGGGAGAGACGAGAAGAGGAGAGAGAGGGTGAAGGGGTGGGAGGGAGAGAGAGGGAGAGGGACGGAGAGGGACGGAGAGAGAGGCGCGTGAACGTAGGCTGCATTGTACACGTTCCCCAGCTCAGTACAGTATGGACGGACAGTGACTGTCCACAATACTGTGGAAATAAAATCATACGGTGGTGGTCTGTGAGTGAGGGGAGTTCCCCCCGCGAGGGGTGCGTGCGTGCGTGTGAGCAAGTGTGAAGGCAAAGCGGATTAAAAAAAAAAGAAATTATGGAAGTAAAAGAAAAAGAAGACTGTATAGTAGTAATAAAAAATGGCAGGGTGGTGGGGTGCCTGGCGATGCCCTGAATAATGCTCGCCACCCCCTAGATTGCGCACAAAGCACGTTCCATGCGAAAAAAATAGGAATGAGCGATAAAGAAACAACAGGCAGCCTCAACAAGCGGCAAAGCAAAGGCGGTCCAAAGTTGTTGTTTTTTTTTGTTTTTTTTTGCACTTTTTTTTCTCATGGAAAAACAAAACAAACAACAGGAATTTTTTCGCAAAAGCTGAAACGGAAATGGCAGAGGAACACGACGAGGAGGAATGCCTATGTCCGCTGTTTAATGTATCACTTACACGCCTGTCACGCGTGCTGCAATGCGCGGCAAAGAGGCCGGGGCAGATTTTGTTTTGAATTAACCTTCCGTCACGTCGGGTCAGGGAAAGCCGTGAGATAGGTAGGTGCGTTTGTGTGTGTGAGTGTGTGTGATTGTGAGTGTACGGAGAGGACTGCCCTGAGCCCCTGCTGCATTGCTCTTGGGAGCTGGGCGAGCCATCTTCCACGAGTGTTATGCGGCGGGACGCTGACTCCATTGTACGCACAAG